AGGTAGATAAAGAGAAGCTGTGGTGCATGTCGAGCCGGCAGCCCATTCACCCGTTTCTATTCTCTGTCTTGTCATCACTCAGTACAACTTTGTCATCCACAGGCTCACTGTAGTGGCACATTTATCATTGTAAAGATGGATTTACATAGCCATGAAAGAGCTGTTTTGTAAGCTGAGTGACAGAGAAGAAAAGAAGCTACCGTACTTGAAATGTCACCCTGTTCACCATGTTCTGTAGATACATATTCATAGAGCCATTTTCAGTTCTCCTTTAGAGAAGTTCCTTTGATTAAATATTTTGACAATATTTCCTAATTCGGAGCAAGCGCAGACAGACCTGCACCGACTTGCTGTAATTTAAAACTAAAATATAAGCAGACAGGGATTGAGCTGAAACTCCTGTTTCAAAGTACCTCAATATTTACACTCGATCATACTTCTCATTCTTTTGGCCCTCCCACACTTCTAGAAACTATAGTAGCTACTCCACTTGGCCAAGCCAAACTCAAGCTCTCCAATTCTTTTACACCCAGAATGACACTTGGAACAGGAAGCTGAATCATGCTTATCAGGGAGGACTGTTATAGGATCTTCTGAAATTCAAATGACTGTCAGATAATGATGCAGAGTTTTCAACATGCAAACAAAGTCAGGTGACCGATAGTGGAGTTATCTAGGGGGGGCGGAAGTTGTGTTGCATTGAGTTAAAAACTCATTTATTCACAGTTTGTGCCTTGTGACACCGCAATGAGCCCAGACTGGACGCAGCTTTTATGAAAAAATTAAAAATAAACCCTTCCCGTGTGAAGTTGACCCCCAGCTCACCTTGGTCCCCACCATCACTCTGTTCTCGGTTTGTTAAAGTAAGGCTGATTGGTGTTCAGCTGGTGCCTGAGGGAGTGATGGTGGCTAGATGGCGGCTAGATGGCGGCTGAGCAGCCATGGGGGGAAGCACACTGTCAGTCCTGTGATAGCCGTATGAGATTCCACATGCTCTGATGAGTAATTCCTCCCTCCCTCCTGCATCACCATGTGGTTCGTGGCCCTGAGTCATCGTCCACACTTTCCCTCACTCCCTCTCCCCTTGTCTGCCTGTCTCTCTCTCTCTCTTTCCCCTCGACGTGAAGAGGATTCTTCCTTCCTTCCTTCCTTCCTTCAGCATGCGGCCGTCCCACAGGGAAACTCAACAGAAAAGCCTCCCTCTGATGACTCACTCACCAACATCGAGCGCTCCACTCCACACCACCCGCTCTACAGCCACGACAGCCCATCTCACCACACCCAGGCCTGGATTTGAGTCCTCCACGGCCTGCTTTGCCCTTATGCCTCTCTTTCTATCTGCCTTGTTGGGTTGCCATTTTCGATATCTCACTGTACGACTGCTGTCTTGTCAAGATGTCTTATTGTTTACCTGTCTTTATACTCCCATCTGTCTGCCTGTATTTCTACCAGCCTGTACGGTGTATCTTAATGCTCTCTGAATTTATCTAGGTATACCTGCCTACCTAGCCTTACTGTCTCTGTTTTTCAATCTTTCCCTTGACACTCAATTGCAAAGTCAAAATACCGAAGGACACAGAGCGTTGACTCCCCCGTCTGCATTTTAAACTATGAAGACTTGGGCAGAAATATAATGACGGTTTAACTCACAGGTCTGCCAAAGGGAAGCATTGGTATTGTTAGTAAAAGAGATGCTTTTAATTCTGCCACTGCAGCTCTCAGATAGAATTATCATTTTCAACTTTATGCTAATCTGCAAATCAGCAAACGTGTTGTGAAAGGTTTAACGAAAGTTAATGTTGTTACTGTCCGATTTCAGCAGCTCCCGTGAAACTGGATCCTTCCATTCACGTGTTCTGCAATTCAATGAGCGTGTAACTTCTGCAAGTTGGTTTTACTGAGGTTTAAAACTCTTTAAAACTGAATGTAACCTATGCATTTAATACATACAGGGTACATGTACATGGCCCTGCAGTGCGACAGGTTGTTGGTTGAATCCCTACACGCCGCTCAGAGATCCTCTACATGTTGTAATAGGAGATTTGTTGACCATTGCAAGAGCAATAAGGATTTTTAGGGGCATTATGACTGGGTTAATAAAACACAGCTGCCCCTAAAAGTCCCTCACTTTTCTTGCTGCCTTTTCTTTCTCCCTTCCTCCCTGCCTCCCTAATCATTCTATGTCTCATTCCAGACTTTTGAGATCAAACTACAACATTTGCTGGCTCTTTGAGTGCGATTTGGTGCATAACTTTGGTATCGGTTCAAATCGTGGCTGAAGAAATGCAACAACCTGGAGTGACCACAGTGTCTGAAGTTTGACCTTTCAAGGAGGCCTGGGTCATATATTTCACAAAAAGCGAGCATGCTTTCCAGTATTTATGAATTGTATATTTATAATGGCAGAGTTTTATTGGGTTTTGCAGTGACGTTTTTAACAGGGGGTTGAATGAGTTCAGAGCAGAATTTCCGAGAAGGAGCGCCCTGTGTGTTCATTAGGAGTTCAGCTTTCACAGAAAAGGTAAACACAATCGTAAGTTTTTACCTTAGCAGAGTTTTCTATATGATGCTCACAATAACACACACATGCGTTCATAGTTACGGCCAATTTGAGAACTGAGTGAACCCAGCGACCCAGATCAGAAGAAAAAAAAACTGGGAAATGCAGGGAAAACGTATTTAGAGTAAGTCTTACAACCCTGCTAACAAATGGTGTGAGGAGAGAATATGAGACAGCCGTGCTGGAAAATAAAAAGATGTAAGCAACGCTGTGCAGCAAGTGGCGAGATGAGTCCGATTGGGCCTTTTAAACAATGTGAAATGCCACTGAGAGAGGCTTGGCAGGCGGTAGCAGCCAGCACTGTTTAATATCACAACTTTAATCAGCACACTTGGTGACTATCCCAGAGCTCCCCGTAGCCATGCTGCTTATTCAAACCAGGCTCATTCCACCAAGCCTCCCTTACTAGGCCCTCAGCTCTCATACCCGCACTGGCTCGTACTCTCCTGCAGCATATATGGAGAGCTTTTGGCTGGAGTGGTTTTATCTGCTTTCTGTGATGTGTCATGGCGCTTTAGTGGACTACGTTGGAGGGAATCACTGATTATAATTGAGTGCATCTCGACCAGTCTGAGGTGCACTAGAAACATCTTTATGTATTCTCTATATTTGACTTTAAACGTATTTTCTGATTTCATGAATAGTTTTTTATATTTAACATAAATTAGCAGTATGATATCACCTACAACCACGGGGAATTTAATTAGAACTTGACAAAGTATCAGCTTTCCCTCGCGACAACTTATTAGAGACGTCAGACGACATAACAGGGTTGTAATAACAAATGGCCTGCCACTGATCTGTTATGCACAGCCTACAAATAACTTATGATCAAGTATTAACTTTTTCATAAGTGAAACTGACAGAAAGATTAACTGTAACAACCTCCTGCCTACTGTGATGTCAAGGGAGTCTGTTTCATTTACGTGACTGTTTTTAGGTGTGTTTTAATAATCACGGAGGTCTTGTGTTTTTAAAATAAAAATCCCATGCTTCAGCGAATGTCTTACCTATGTGTCACTTGCAGCATGGAGATGCCACCACGGCCCTCCGCTCTATTAATTACATAAAGCATCTAGTGTCGGGATGCTAAATTCATTAGTGAGGTATGTACGGCATGCTAGGGTCAGGACAGATATAGAAACAGGCCTCCAAAACCACTTCTTCCTCACTTGACACACTTGTTCGACATAATAGAGTATGGGCACTTTGTCTCGTTTTTTTTTTTTTAACTCATTTCAGTGTGTTCATGTAGAGTCTGAGCTGTCAGCGTCTACAGAAATGGTTAAACTTTGGATTAAACCGCTCATCTAAAATCGAGGAGGATATGAGTAATTTGCTTGTAACGCAGCTAATTTAGGTTTTTATCATGTGTGCTCTTTGAAGACAGAATAATTCAATAATTTGACTGATTTTCCCTGGAAATTAAATTTTTTTCTTTTTTCTATTTTGGCCTATTTTTGATTGGGCTTTAAAAATAAAAAAAGACAGGGGAAAAAAAAAGAAAAAGACTTGTTCTGAAAACTATTTATCAGAGCTGTGTAGCAGAATGAGGCCAGCTAAGAAATGCAGAGCCACTTTTTTTTACTAAAGAAACATTGTGTGAAGGTTGTTCATCATTGTATGCATCAGACAGAAACAACCTCTGCTCTGGCTTTCTGTGACACTCTTGAGAAGCAGGCTTCTCTTTCACAAAGCTGTAAAGTTCAAGTTTGACTAATCAAAGGTTTTGGCCAATTATTAAGCAACGACATTCACAGTTTCACCCCCTGAGCTGTTAAAAAGTTCATATTACATTCCTTCACATTTCCTTTGGTTAAAACCTGCAGCTGTTTGCAAATGTAGTGCTCCTTTGAAGTTTCATTCTTTGTGTAGCTCATACACTGAACCTATAAAGATTAGAGCATTCGTATAATATTAGCTGCGGTCTATATCGGGCCTATGGTATTTATTGGTATCGCTATAATTATTAGCGAGATCACATTATGTATCAACGGTATTAAATGGTGCGTTTACTGACCTTTAGTGAGACGTTATCTCCTAAGATATCGCTATTTAGCCACGATAGCCTACTTGTATTGTCCATCTGTTCCACATTTCATTTCTTTAACAGATGATTGTGTATTTTCTATAACTTGGTGGTCACATGAGCCAGAAACTGGGACTTTGTAGGCCAGTTGAACGAATTGAGGACTCACCTTGCCCGCAAAGACCCAGCCTCTGACACACACCATCATCATCATCATCATCATCCTCCTCATCATCATCAGTCCCATCTCCGGGGACTCTATGTGGAGGAAACTCCAAAAGCTTTTACCTACAGGTTTCTGGAAATTGGCTTTTAGACCACAAGGTTGTTGTTTTTTTTATTTGAAACTTCCAGCCAGGTTAATGAAGGAATGTTCAGGGTTTAATAATCTGTGACCACGCCGATACATACCCACTGATCTGCTGCCTGTCACTGTCTGAAGAAGTGGGTGATGCTGCCCGGCTGTTGTTATCTGCGCACCGGGCAGGTGTCAGCATCCTGTAGCCATATGGTGACTTCGCGTTAAAAAAAAAAGGCGCCGACTGTCTGTCTGTCTGTCTGTCTGGTCGCTCGTCTGGCTTGCACCGGGGGAGATCGCGGGTTGCGAGCGAAGTTGAAATTCGCCACGTCCATGATCCCCCGCCAGCACCACCGCCGCCGCCGCCCCAGTATATCTGATCACTTGGTGGCACGCATCCCAATTTAGCCAAGATTATCCTTTTTTTTGGGGGTGGGTGTGGGGTGGATGTGGTGGGGGGGAACGAATCTGTCTCTTTGAAGAGTCGACAGTCCACCCACGCCCACACTCCCCCCCCGGGCCATATCTTTCCCCTCTGTTCCAAGGGAGAAGAAAACATGCAGACGCCCAACAGTTGTCGCCCCTTGTTGCCAGTCTTCCCCCTCCCCTTTCCGTCCCTCCCTTCAAAAAAAAAAAAAAACCTTCTTCTTTTCCACGGAGAGATCCCCGGGTGCGCCACCAGCACCCAGCACAGCCACGCCAATATCCATTCTGGAAGAGACAGGCGGGACAAACAGGGAGACGGGAGTGAGAGGCCAGGGAGCCTGCTGGCTGCTGCTGCCATGCTGCAGCCTCGACATTATGAGCAGGGTATTCCCAAACAGCTGGAAGGAGCTGATATATGGTGCTGCGCCCTCGTGCTGGGCCCTCCCCAAAATGGACCGGTGCTAAGTGGTAACCTGGTTATTTTCAGCGCGTCACTGGCTCGACTCCAGTTATAGGTTTCCGTCGGGGGGTCGCAGCCGCGTGGCCCCCGTATTTCCAATTATTCTAAAAAAGACGGACTTAAAAAAAAAAAAAACGGCCAAGAGCACTACACAGAGTAATGTCCGAGCATGTGTGTTTGCCTGTCACACACATTCCTGCGGTGTGTTGGCTCGCCCGTCCAACATGCGCCACACACACACACACACACCGTGGCCGCACTCAGCTGCGTCTCCGGCGGCTCCGGGGCGGCGAGTCTGCGGCTCTCTCAAGGTGTTCCCCTCTTTTATCGATGCTGTTCAGCGGGCTATATACATCCCAGGTTCATCACACCTCTCATGTTACCTCCCTGACCAGCAACATGTTAGTGTGCCGCGACCCCTGGTGGCAGTGACGCGCCACGACGCTCTGCTACGTGCGTGTGTGTCAAACACAACCTTTATTGTTTTGTTTGCGCGATCACGTGAAGTTGCACATCGGGGGTTAATTACAGCGAGACAAATGGATTCTTCTCAGCTTATTTTATAAGTGGCTTCGTTACATATTTTATATTGAGTCAGAAAGGTTTCTATTTATTTGTTTCTATATTGTTTTGTTAAGTTATGTGCTCCATAACTTGACTTTTTTTTTTCTACTCCATATTCTCATCGTATTCTTTACATTATTTTCTGTCCATTTATCTAACATTGCAGTATATTATGTTCTATTTTATTCTTTTATTTCTGCTATTAAGCATTTTATTCTACTATATTGTGATCTATTCTGCTATTTATTTATTTTTTGCCGTTTTTCTATTTTCTATTTTATTGTGATATGTTGTATATCTACTGTGATATTACCATTATTTTATTTTAGGTTATTTTGCATCCTTTTTCTTTTTCTTTTCCTTTTCTATTCTCGAGGTCATGCTCTACTTTTACTGCCTGTGCTGACGTTCTCATATGGCATCAGTCAGCTGCTTCATGTGGACAAGAAACCCACAATAACGCCGGAAATTAGGAAATTTCTTATCAAAATAAAACGACCGAACTGACACTTTGTCCTGAAGGTCTCATTATTTATTTGTACACCAATTGTAACCATTTAAGTGGTGTCGTATTCCTCCTTCAATGCACCCTCTTTTTCTCTTGGACACTTTCTGCGACTAAAATATGAAGTAGGCGATATTAATAGAGAATCATTTTATATTTTAAGGGGTTTGTCCGGAAGCTGTGTGTCGGATTCAGGCTGACTTGACATCAAGTAGCAATGTCCGACTTTGTACCTGACAGGAACAGCCCGGTTTCTCCTAAACAAGACATCTCATTACTCCAGCAACAGCAGGACGGATGTTCAGCATCATCTGCATCATCACATTAACGTCTGACAGCCGTCGGTGAGTTTTTGAGCTCATTAATAAATGTCTCCGCCACACAGCCTGTGCGTTTTGGATCTGTGTACAACACAATTCCCGTGTGGTTCTTCGTTTTGCTCAAACTCAGGTTTTCCTGTTGCACCGCACATTTTAGGGTTTTCTCATTTTACGAGACCAAATGCCAGATTATGTGAAGCCAGCTCAGTCCTGGACCAAGTTTATTAATACTGTACTGACGTCAGCATGTGTTGAGGGAGGCAGCAGGAGAGAGAGAGAGAGAGAGAGAGGAAGAGGATTGCATTGTTAAAGAGCCTGAAGGCATTAAAAACACAGGCAAAATCACAAAGGGTGTTTGAAAAGTTATAGTGCAGCTGTTGCTGAAGCAGGTAAATAAATGCATCATGCATGATTTGAGTAAAATAAACAGAACCTCACTGTAATAATAAAGTCTTTTTTTACTCAAGGTACTATCAGCAAAATGTACTCAGAGTTTCAAAGGTAAAGTCAGTGTCATATTATTATATATATTATATATTATCATATATTTATGTAAAGCTAAATTGGATTACTAGCGGTGTATTAATGTATAAGCTGCATTTTAATGTTTAAGACAGGCCAGGTGGAGATATTTTATCTACATTGAATCCTGGGTAGTTTTTTTTTATAAGAATACATATTTAACATATTTTTGTAAATACACCCTCAATCTGCAGCAGTAACAATACCTGTCAGATAAATGTAGTGTAGAGTAAAAAGTGTATACATATATATATATTTGTATACAATATTTGTCTCTGAAATGTAGTGGAGTAGTCTAGTAACGTTTAAAGTTTAAAGTAACATAAAAAAGAAACACTAAAGTTAAGTACTTCCTTAAAACTGCAATCAATTAACATACTTAAGTAACTGAATAAAAAAGAAAAGTATAAAGATGACTGTTTTAATGTGAAGTTTCACTCTTCCCACAGACACTCAGATAAAGCTCCTCAGGATCAAACTGTGTTTTCATGACTGTAGCTATGTAACTGTGGTTGCTGTTTTGGAGGCTATGACTGCCCACACAACAATGCTTCCTCCTCACTGCACCATGTGTCACCCTCTTCTCTCTCTGTAGTGCAGTGGGGCCAATAAGCAGCGGACGCGGCTGGCGCCCGGCTGCAGGCAGCCCTCTCAATGGTCTCTCCCACTATGAAAGCGTTGGTGGATGCTGTATGGGCAGTGTGGAGCATCGGAGCCTCCATTTATGACTACATCCACACCAACGCCATGGAGGAGCGCATCCACGCCCTGGAGAACGTCATCACCATCCACCAGTGTGTGATTGGGCTGCTGTCTGCAGGCGTAGTGGTACTCTTCTCCTACATCCTCTTCAAGAAGCTGTAAAGATGTGTGAAGGGGTGGGGAAAGCAAACACTCACCAGATAGACAGAGGGGATTTATTTTTTTTTTTACATGTTGGGTACATTAGTCACCTGGAGGGTATATCCAACACATACCAGGGCACACTGTCTTTATTCAAGGTAAATGCCAGGTTGGTGGTCGATAAGACATTAAATTACTTTTTTAACATCAGTTTAGTGTCACATTTTATCCTAAATTTTGGGGAAAACCCATTGAGGTTCATGTCCTCTATCAGTAAGATAGTGGAGGAGGTGAGCATGTGAAGCAAAAGGGTCCAGCTTTTTGTTAAAGGCGGATATAGATAATTTTTCTACTGATAGTGACAGATTTTATGTGGCAGTATTCAGTATCTTTTAAATTAAATTTTGATTCAATGCTTAATTTTTAATGGCTTAACTGCCAAATGATTCATCTGTATGTCCCCAACACATTTGAACTATTTGATAGATAAAATTCAGCACAGGCACTCCAACAACTAGCCAATTTGCACATTTCTGAATAGCCCTAGTAGCTCAGTTTATCATCCAACACTACCAGAATCCTCTACACACACTGTAGCCGCAGTGCGTGTCAGTACTACTTCAAACTCCATTCACATAGAGAAGTCTTCAGCTGACATTATGTGTCTGGAATTGCCTCTTAAACATAATTCACAAATTTTCTATAGGGATAATTATTGAAAATAATAATTCGCCAAAACAACTTCTGCCTTATAACACATTGTTTTCACTCTTTTCATCTTTTCTTGTTTGCACTAATTTCCTCAAAGCCTGACTGAGATACCAGGAGAAAGCGAATTGCCCTGAAACTAGTGTCTGTGAAAAACAATAATTGGAGAGTGCCGAGGTACTTAATATCTCTGAGTGTAATTTCTGTAAATGCAGTTAACTCATATCATACTACTCATATCTGGCCCCATGGTTCTGAACATCTGTAAGCATTGTTCATATTGTCTTTGAGTATCAGATGAGTGAAAAGACATTGTAAAATCCCTTGTGATACAATTTTATAGGTCTACTTGTGTATCATCTATATTAGATCTTACAGTGCAACATCGTGATCCATTTATATAATGCTTTTTTTTATGTTATACCTCATAGCTGTCATAACACTGTAGGTGCCACCACTGTATTAAACTATTTGAAGTGTCCTTAAAAAACTGTAAATATATTTAGATGTTTATGAAGTTTTTCAGCTGGTCATTGAAACATTTCATAGATGTACAACTATCCCATAGTAATACTGCTGCTTAATATTTATTGTTTTGTTATTTAAAGGCAACATTTTGTACAATGAATGGTGGGAACTGAAATGAGACGCCACTTGATACCGACTGCAAACATTGGATCAATGTTTGAAATGAGAATTTTAGAGGATAAAGTATGTGTTTTTGTCATAGTAATGTAAATTAACTTCACTAACCTGCCAAGAGAATTGTTTAAATAATTGGTGGGTCATTGAAAGCTTTTGCCGTAAGAGTCCTGAGTTTAGAAAAGAGTGTGTGTGTGGTGTGTGTGTGAGTGTGTGTGGTGTGGTTTGTGGTTTGTTTCTGTGTGTGTTTATCTGTGTACATTTTGTTATGTCTCAGAGGGACCACAGCAGAGAAACAGAACCCCAGAATGAATAACTGTTTTAATATAACAGCATCAAAGTTTGTATCAAATAAATGTGGAATTCAATTCAACTGGACATCCTTACAGTACTACATATTTCCAACTTCAGTCTGATATCAAATGCAGCACAAACTGTTGTAAATGAAAATGGAAAGTAGGTACAAGTTGTAATATTACTGCCTAAAGCAAATCTAAAAAGATTTCCCCTCAACACTGCTGGAGACTTTTGAAGAAGAATCAACAGGCCTTTGCCTGATGGACAGAAAAACTTGCTTTCCAGTTTCAGGCAATGAAAGTTTTCAACCGGACCAAGAGGAACCCCTACTCTGAAACGTACTGCCTCTTAGTTGATAAAACTTCTACAGTTGTTGAACATTGGCTGAACTTAGAGGCCTTGAGCTATGCTACTTTGGACCTCTTCAGGGCTACTCATAAGTGCCCGGTCTGAAGTAGAGTATATCTGGAGGTGAACCTATCCACACTCTCCCCTTCCAGAAACTTCATGGCTCTCCAGTGGATCTTGCCACAGTTCTCTGGCTGTCCAAGGGGTCCCAGCTCCTCCTGGATGTACTGCAGCCACAGATCTGCAGGGAAATAAAAAACAGAAAAAGAAAACACTTTTACACTGAAATTAAAAGAAATATCCTAATTGATAGCTCTGTTTTTGGCCTAGAAACCAGACTAGTAGTTTGTGTGGGATCCATCTTCTGCTTAATTTTTGAGTCTCTGTCCAAGAATGTATTTTCGCGCTCACCTCCAAAATAGGTCTGAGCTATATCTGGTCAAATAACTATAACTGTACTGAATACTGTAATATAGGTACCATTACATTCCATTTTTTGTGCAGTTGTTTTGTTAGATGGAAACCTGGAATTGAGTCCTTGATACTTGAATAACAGGAATAAATATTTTGAACACTACTTTCCCTCTCTACTCTTGTTCCTTTAAAGGCATATAAAGAATGCTCACCGTCATCTGAGGTGCCAAACTCCTGCAGGGCCCGCTCGTAGTACTCTCTCAGACTGTTCATCTTTGGCGTCTCCTGGAAGAACAAACATTGTTATTACAGCTCAGAATTGTCTCGCCTTATCACTAATACAAATAATATTAAAGTCCGCCGTTTGTCCCTGCTATTTCTTTTTTGGAAGAGTTAAGAGTCCAAACTATTGTCACTAATCTGTTTTCTATCTATACATACTTGTTCCTTCTCGATCTGAATCATTCTGGTGAAAAAGGCCTTGGACAAGGGACGGTTTTCCTGTAAGCTATAAAAGAAAGAATGTTAGTTATTTTGCATTTGCGCCACAGTGATTTGGGACCAATTCAATCTTTTATTCCTTTTGTGTTATCATTTATTTTATTACAGTGTGAGCAGACAGAGTCATTTTCTTTTACCTTGTAAAGGTCTTCCTAGCTTTCTTGTAGCCTCCAGTGGAGTACGACCAATCAAGGTAGCTCCCTTTCATCTCCATGGCAATAGCCGCTACTGCAGACAGCAGACCTCTCTGGGAACAAACGAGAAAACAAAACTGTCTCCGAAGCATTCTCATTTCAGAGGCCAAAACACTGTTCAGACATCAGGGGCTATTAATCTTCTATCAACATTTTTATCCGTCTACAGTTCTTTACACAACTGACCAGAAAGATAACTTGACTTCTACATAGGTTTGCATTGTATGGTGCCACGCATTTTTAAGTTGCACTTTTCCAAGATCATTATCATGGGTAGAAAATAATAACAACTGCTTTCCCAGCAGAGCCAAACAATATGTTCCAGTAGCTAGTAGTGACAGCACACTGTGATTTAAAACTGGATACAGATGGACTACCTTGAAGACTGCTTCTGTCTCTTCAGGACTCTGGTTGGCCACACTCCACTGGACCTGCAGCTGCCAAAGTGGTAGACTCTCCTGTCAAGACAGGACAGAAAAGATTAAGCTATTGGTTTCTAATCAGTATCTTGCCCAGCAGGGGTCCATTTGCATCCTTTAGTGGAGGTATGTGCTGTCAATGTACCATATCTTCATTCCCTTTTATTCTTAGAGCAAACATATTGAGCACCGGTGCGCTTAAATCAGACCCATGTTTGCAGATTTAGCTGTCTTGTTTTCCCATTATATGCAGAGATTTTAAAAATGAGTCATGAGTCAGTATTCCTGTGGAGCATCTGGTTGACAAATCACCTTGCTCCACTCTCCCCAGGTCAATGTGCCTTTAGAAAGCGCATGAGTATACAACATCAAGCTGGATTAAGAGAGGACGTCCACATTTTCCTCATTAATTAATCTTTATTTCTGAGCCGTGCAATATCGTTCGACATACCAGACGAACCCCGCTGTGGGTTAATGCCATTTCTCAACTTAAAGAGAGAGAAAACACTTGCCTAATAATCAGCAGCAGTGTGGTAATCCTCCTCACACAGCTACTTCTCAGGGCTACAGTCTTGTGAAACCCCCACCACAACAATAACCAGCTATTCAGCCCTCGACTATAAAGGCCTGTGGCTGAGTCAAAGCCTGTGTATTCATAGCCAGACAGTATAGCGCTGTGCAACAATGTGAAGGACAGTGTCAGGGCAACACAAAATGAAGGGTAAAAATATGTGGCTTTTAAATTTTTAATAGGCTTTGTGTTCAATAAGGTATTGCAGCATGAGAAAAACATTGATGCCAGTTTAATGTTTTAAAAAAAAAAAACATTATGACTGACCCCAGAATATCTGAGGTGTTGCTGGGGATCTAAGGATTAGTTCATTTGCCACCCAAAACATATCAATCTGTCAAGAGTATAGGGTTAAACAATTATCCAACTCATTTACCTTTCATGTTAAAAAATAGCTAACAAGATTTTCTGACCTCAAATAAATGATAATTACCCAAATTATCTTTAATAATAATAATCTCTGGCTTTTCATGTTTATAACTTAAGGTTTCAATTGTGTTTATTTTTTTCACATCTTCATTTTTCCTCACATATAGAAGGGGGTGGAGGAGGCCGTTTGAGGAACTTAATATAATGCAATAGACTAATTGGGCCAAGGAGATGGCCCATTTATACAGGAGTGCTAGTGGCTCTGTGTGTGTGTGTGTGTGTGTGTGTGTGTGTCCAAGGAGAACAATTATACCTGTGCAGTAGGAGCACAACTGATGCGTTGCTCTTTGTAAGCAGAGAAAGATCACCAAACTCGATGTGATTGAGAACAAATTACGCAGTCAAAAGTCAAATGCGTGTGTGTGTGTGAGCTTTGTGTACCTTGGGATTAACGCGTGTGAGAGCGTCCTGGAATAGCTTGCCCACGTCTCCGTTCCCCAGCTGCATCATTGTCTGCAGACTCAGGCTCCACACTGACACCGATTGGCTGTAGCGCTGCGTGGCTGCCATGGCAACACTGGCCGCGCCCTCAGCATCTCCGGATGAGAGCAGGATCTGCAACTT